AGAAGGGCTTTGCACAATCTGGGAGAGAGCGGATCTTGTTAGCTAAATCTTGATTTCTGAGGTCCACCATCCTGGCTTGGATGGTTTTTGTAAGACGATTGCAATGGGTCTTCAAGACACGTAAACCAGAACGCTGGTATTGCCTTCGGATGGAGTTACGGAGTCTGATGAGATCTTTGGTAATTCTATCAAGGTTCAGAGTATTGCTCACCTGTCTGGATACTGGCACGTGTTGTTCCCTGGCCCGGGTTATCGCCTCCTCGATGGAACGCAGACACCGGTCAAAATCTTCGGGCGTCTCCGGAAGGACATCGTAGTCGACAGTGGAGTCGACCCAGCCTACTTCAGCCACCACCGGATAGTGGTCCGAACTCAGCTCCTGATGGTTCACAGGTAGCGAGATGTTGTCTCCCATGTTGCTGATGAAGATGTCTATCGTGAAGTGAACGCCAGACCGGCTCAACCGGGTGGGACAGTCCGGCGCTAATATGGCGTAGCGAGTCTCTTGCAGGTCGTCGTTCAGGATGGTGTCGTTTTGGTTGCGTCGACTGTTGCCACAAGCCTGGTGTTTGGCGTTCAGGTCGCCAGCGATGATGTACTTTTCACGCCGTCGAGTTAGTTTGATGATGTCCCTCCGCAGGTCTGCTGCCGACCCGTCCCCGATGGTGATTTGCTTGGGGCAGTAGGTCTCAATGATGGTAATAGGGCCGACAGGAGTGGAGACTTCTACCCCTAAAGCTTCGATGGTTTTTAGCTGGAAGCTTGGCAGAAGCCAACAGCAGATGTTTCTCCTTACAGCAATGGGCACTCCTCCTCCCCCGGAGCTGGTTCGATCATGTCTTAGAAGCCGGAAGTTAGGAAGGTAGATGTTTACCTCCGGTTTCAGGTGGGTTTCGGTGATAACGGCAATGTCGATGTTTTGTTTGTTGAGGAAGTCAACGAGCTCGATGATCTTGCTCTTGAGCGAGCAAGCGTTTCAGTTGGCGATCTTGATGGTTTCACGGTCCATAACTTAGCATGAAGGTAGTCACAGCTTGGAGCTGGTCGGATTTGTTCTTGATGGTATTGGCAATATCGTGCATCTTGAGGAAGATGATCATTAGTTCCGCTGCGGTGAACCACGAACCATCGTTGATTTCTGGCTGAGGTAGGGACGGCCCATCCTGATGCCAGTTTAGCCCAGGGGCTGTGGGGAGATCCTGTGATTTTGGAGCAGCGGTCGTCCCTTGGCCTGAGCTTGCAAGGACTCTGGCAGTTTGAATTTGAACGGTGGTGGCCGCCGCAGCAGCCAATCGTTGATTGAGTGGCAGCGGTGGCAGCACTGTAATCGGTCGTCGAGGTATCGGTGGGAAGTTCTGGTCATTAATTTCCGGCACCTTCTTGAGGCCAGGCTGGTTTCTCATCGATGCTATCTTCCGGATCTCGATGTACTCGGTGCGCTTCGGGCAGGCCTTGCTTGTAGCTTTGTGATCAGCACCGCAGTTGGCGCAAATTGGATCGGCTTCATCGAGTCTGTCGCAGGCGTCGGTTTTGTGTCGTTTGCCACACTTGATGCAGCGGCTGACCATATGGCAATTCTTCGTTCCTTGCCCGAACAGCAGGCAGTTCGAGCATTGGGTGACTCCAGGGCTGACCGGCTTGTACCGCTCCCACTTCACCACAATGTTGAACAGGACGCGGATGCCCTGGAGGTCCATCAAAGTTGTTGAGTTCTTCTCAAGGTGGACCAGGTATAGCTGGTCGCGGTACTTGACGGCCGTGTTGTGGCGAGCCATCTTGTGAATTTGGACCGGCTTCAGTCCATTAGCCACCAGCTCTTCCAAGAGGATGCCTGTGTCCATGTCGTATAGTCCACGCAGGATAACCTTGAACGGCTTAACAGCCTCGATGTCGTGGGAGAAGTACTCCACCTGTGATTGGTCCAGTATGGTCTTTACCGCCTTGTAATATGTCAATGCCGTAACCATCAGTTTGTATCCTTCCGTGCACAGCTGGATGGTGCACCGGACGCCCTGCATGATGAAGAAGTTTATTTTTTTCCCACAATCCGGGAGGGAAGCCCTTCACGTAGAAGGGCGGCATTCTGTCCTTCTTCGGCGGTTTTGTTGTTTCCGTTACCCGTTCTGCACCGTCCTTCAGAACGGAGAATCGCACTGTCACTGTTGTCTTCAGGCCTAGACCGTTTCCCGAGATTGCCGGCACTCGCGCCACCGCGCGATTTTTTACCCATGGCTGGGTTAGCGAGAGCGTCACTATTCAACGCGAGAAAAAACGCAACAACGCAATCGAGCGAACGAAGAGAGCGAGAGTAAAGATGAGTTGAGGCTAGACAGCAGCGCTCTTTTATATCGTTTCAGGTTAAAGCAGAATGATGTGCTCGATTATGAAGACTGGGTTTGTGAAGAACGTTTATTTCATGAAAACAGTGATACAATTATTAATTTTTATTTATAAATTGGACAATGCTTGACATTTACCACTTTTTCAATAGTTTCTTCTTAAAAATCAACATCCAAAAGCATTGCTATCGATGTGTAGAAATATTTCTGATCGATTGGTGATAAAGTTATTTAAATTGGTCCAAGGGCCGGTGAATTATTAACGTTCAAAATCTTTCATAATTTTGTTACATGTTCCATTTTTCGGTTTCCACAAAGTGTGCCCCCATATATAAATCACAGACGTAGTCCTACGTCAAATAAGTTAATGTTAAACCAAATGCCGGACTAGCATTTTGATCATGGCACTGATGTCTATACCCAAATCTACATCTAGCCGATGAATATAAAATCATACTTCATTAGGATGTCATTTTTTCCATTTTATTGTCCAGTTAGTTTTCGTCAGGCACATCACACATGACGAATCAATTTCTCCTAGGCTGATACAAGCACAAGTGTAATGCAATAGTAGATAGAAAAGCTGAGACAATATTGATTCGAAGCCCACACTTCCACACATCTTCATTTCCGGAACATCATTATTGAAGGTAGCAAGGTTTAGCTGGTAGCAGGGGGCTCTCAACGCCCGTTACATACCAAATATCGAAATCGCTCGCCAGTGTGCGTTGCGGTTTGGTTCGGTTCGGTGCGGTACGTGTCCTCGCATTCGATCAGTAGGTTTATCTCCCCTAATCCATCAATAATAAAAACACATGTAACGATACTTCTGCAAACGGCTGCTGGCTTGGCTGATGGGATGTGGCCGGCCACCCAGGAGGACGATGTGGCCAAGTCGTGTTGTAGGATGTTCGATGGCTGGGTCTTTTTACGACTTTGGTTCTTTCGATAAATGTGTTCGTAAGACGGCTTAGACTGATGTGACGAACATGGCGAAATCAAAGAAATCAACGAGATTTTGGTTTGATTTGTCGCCTCAGTCATGAGCTAAGAGGAGGAGGAGACAATAGGGGGCTTTTTTGAGCCAATTTTCTGCCAAACGCGAACCAGCGTCTTAACGGGTCGGGTGAACGTGTAGAAACGCGAGAATTTTTACAACAGGGAATCTATTTTCTTGTATTTTGACGGTCGACTACGTCGCCCATAATGAAATAATTTTTGCACGGTTGTTTTCGCGGGAGAAGAAGATTACGTCACAGACAAAAAAAGAAGTCAGTGGTCTTCTCTTCCTCTTAGGTCATGAGCAGCCAGTGGCAGAAAAAAGTGACAATGCTGACGATTATCGAACATCGTGCCCGGGTGAGCCATTGCTCTCTACACGCTTCCTAAAAATTGAATCATGGGCGAACTGAATTCGGATTATGTCGATGTTGTTGTCGATTTTTCTGCCGTCGTTGGCTTGGCATCCGTCACGGAAACATAACGCAGCATAAATTTGCTTGGTAAATATGTTTACACATATCTTTATTTTCTCTTTCCGGAAGCAAGGAGTTTCCCCCCTGCAGCAGGTTCTAATGAATATTGGAGGATGAAGTATTTTGCCGACTGTTTATTTGTTTATCCGGAAAAGGGAGCTCATATTTTCTCAGGCTTTTGGGCTCTATTTTTTTGTTCATGCTTTTTATGACAACAAGCGCCTTTGGAGTTTGGTTGTACAGTTTTTGGAAGCGTATAGAATTGAGTTTGGGTGGTATCGGAGCACACTGAGTGCTAGAACTTTGCACATAAATTATAGATGGGGCATCCTGCTGCCAGCAGAAGTGGCTCCTTTGTTTATGTTGACCTCGGACTTCAACTACCGGCCGAAAAACTGGTGCTCATTCTGTTGATTTTTTTTTTCTCTGGCTAATGCCTCTCAAGGGACCGTAACAATCTCAACGAAAGTGATCGCTATAGAGCAGAGCGAATCAGATTGCTACCGGTGGCGTGGGGGATGTTCAAACGAACAAGTTTGTTAGGAAAGTTTACTTTTTCTGAGTTTGTTGACCAAATGCAAAAAAAAAACCGAACAAAGGGATAACGGTACGGCTTAATCATATTTCAATCAACAACTTACGATGATTGGTAAAAGACGTATTGCCCAACAGCAATGCTGCGTGGAATAAATATCTTCTTCTGAATAATGTTGGTATGGAAATGATGTGCTTCTTCATATTGTAATGTTCTACTGGCTTGTATACACATGAGAGGCATGCCAAAATTTGCCATTAGTTCCTCATCCTACAACATCCAGTTTGATTTTCGTTGGTCTGACTGAAATTTGCTTAATCATAGATAAAACATCTGAATTTTACTGGTGATGTAAATACGAGAGGGGGGGAGGGGGAGGTGGTGCCCTTCCCTCGACACATTTCATCGACGCCATTCTCCTCGTTAAGGACGGGTAACTCCCTCCGCCCTACCTCGAACCTTGGACAGTCGAAGACCACATGCTCTGGCGTTTCATCGACGTTGCTACACTCCGGACAGAGGGGTGGCGCTGCGTGTCCAAACCGATGCAGGTATTTCTTGAAGTAGCCGTGGCCAGACAAGAACTCCGTTAGGTGGAAGTTGACTTCTCCGTGTTCCACTCCTGTTGCCACTTAGCCAACGACTCAACTCTCACAACTTCCCGTACTCTTCCGGCTTTTCTCCGATAAGGTTCATACCGGCGATAACGCATACTGCTTCCGACGAGATGGTTCTGGCCGCACTCACAACTCGCATGGCCAGGAGCCGGAACGTACTGCTCAGTTTCCTTTGGTTCTGCTTCGTTTCCAGCGCTGCAACCCAGGCTGGAACTCCATACCTCAGTATCGACGTTGACACACTGGCCAAAAAACGCCTCTTGTTACTGCTGGGACCAGCGCTGTTCGGCATGATTCTAGCTATCGCGTTAAAGGCTTTCGAAGGCTTCTCACAGGCATATTCGACGTGGTTGTTGAAGTTTAGCCGGTCATCGATCATCACTCCCAGGTATTTCAACAAACGCTTCGAGGCTATGGCGTGCTCCCCGACGGTGAATTCTGCCCGCTGTACTGCTTTACAGTTACTGACCAATATCACTTCTGTTTTGTGGTGGGCTATCCTCAGTTTCGCTCCTTGCATCCAGATACCAATCATGTCGATCGCCTCACTTCCACCTCTTCCAGCGTCTCGCCTGTTACCGTCAAGACGACGTCGTCCGCAAAGCCAACGATCTCAAAACCAGAACCCAGTTCTGGAAATAACTCCTCACGATCCTGCACAGGTAGTGAGGGACCCTCATTCTATGCAGCGCTTCGCCGATGACCTCCCACCTGGCGCTGTTGAACGCATTCTTGACGTCGATCGTTATCACGGCGCAATATCTATCTCCTCTTCGTTTCTGTTTGGACGTCTTCTCGGCTCTCTTGACCACTGCCCGAACTGCATCCACCGTTGATCTCTTTTTCCGGAATCCGAACTGCCTCTCTGACAATCCGTGCTCACTCTCCGTTGATTTCGTCAGCCTGTTTAGGACAATCCTCTCCAAAAGTTTTCCGAGTGAATCCAGCAAGCATATAGGCCTGTATGATGCTGGATCCTCCGACAGTTTTCCTGGTTTGGCCGCTTTCAACGGGGGATTCCATCCGAACTGGGAGCTTTCTTCACCTTCAATCCTTTCTCCACTGCTCGAGTTCCTCGTTCGTGACTTCAACGTTATTTTCGTGGTTGGCATCAGCGTCTCGACACAGCTCATTAAAACAGTTTAACTTGCTTAGCTTTATCTTTCGATTAAGTGCGGCCCTGGCCGCTCGAAACACTCCCCTTCGTTCCTTTCTGTCTGCTTCTTTTCTTGCTCTCTGAACACGTCTTCTGGCTCTGGGACAACTAGCGCGGAGGGTGCTAAGTGCCTCGTCCCACCAGTAAGTTGAACGCCGTCTGTTATTTGGCTCCAGTTTCCTCGGCAAGGTCGTGTCACATGTTCTGACTAACGTTACTGTCGGCTTGTCCGCGTTCAGATCCACGGGGCCCCTGTCCTCATGGAGTTTCTTCATGTCGGTGCTGTCGATTAACTGGAGGGTAAATTAAAGTCGATTCCGTTATAGTTCCGTCGGACCTCATTTCCGGTCATATAGTGGTTTTTCTAGTTCCGTATCGTGTTCCATGGATAGGCGGTAGTCATTGACTAAGCTGGAGGTTGTGATCCGTGCGCACTACGATAATCGGGGTTTATTGGTAGATTTAAACTTGGCTGTAGAGTCCGGCTTCGTGAAGAAAACCAGTGAGGGCCACTATCCTGGAGGGTTCGTTGGGGGGCATCACAAATGTTGTCTGATGTTCCATAGAAGTCACGGGGGCCGTGTTCCACGGAGTGGGGAACTTAACAGGTTTCACAGATTGATCTGAAGGGATTGTTCCACTTTCCGATGTCTTCCTTGACCCTTCGAATGAATGGTTCTCTTTTTTGGCTCCATGCAACTGCCCTGGATGATCTATGTGACCCACTTTTTTAGGTCATGCTCAGGAATCTCTTGAGTGTATAACGTGGACAGCCTTCCAGTAGCCGCCAGGTGGTCTGCCTCAATGATACCACGAGCCCCACAGTGTTCAGGGATCCATACGAAGGTGGTGCCATAGGGCGCGTTCATCTGTATACCCTGGATTCATGGGTGCTTTGAGGTATCGGATTGAATAGCTTTGACAACACTGGCTGAATCCGTGAATATGATTTTTGGTTTATCGGAGGGAGTGGTGGCGGCAATAAAAGCTGCACTTGCCTCGGCAGATCGAGTATTGTTTAGGTAGTTGAAAACATTCCGACATTTTTAGGCCGCTAACCCCGATGCCTAAACCCCTACTAGTAACTGAACTATCGGAGTATCTGATAGTCTAGTCGTGGTACTTGTCGCGCTGGAGTTTGGTTACCAAGTTGGTTACCGCTTGTGGGTTGGAACCTGCTTGAAAACGGTTTTTGATAGTTGGATCAATTCTGCGTTTCGGTAGGATCCAATTCCTGGCTCCAACCCAATGAACCTGGCACACTGTGGGGAGCTACTGGTTGGCAAATTCCATCAGGAGTTGATTGGTCTCCTCTAGGAGAAACCCTCCCTCACCTGTTGTCGACAAATGGAGTTGGAAATGAACAGGTTGAAAGGGAGCGAACCAGGGTTGCTTTCACTCACTTGCTATAAAAAAATGTTTTTCGGAATTATAAAATCGTTAGATGTTATCATTTCAGAGTGTCACAATCAGCGATTTTATGATTCGTGAACGTTCCGTCAGAGTGAGCACTCGCGAGTCGTAAAATCGCAGATTGTGACTATCTGAAAGCGAATTTGACAGGTTTTATGTTTCAACCTCGTCCTCGTCTAACAAGTACAAAATATTATTGAAACAAATAGGGGAAATGCAGGTACTGTCGGCCTTAGTGTCCCTATTTTGGGCCCATACATAAATTCAGCAATCGACTAAATTTTCAATAGCAACCAAAAATATCTATTAGTAACGTCCCAATAACGCGTTCATCTAGATAAAATTGATAAATAGCAGATTTTTAGCGATGGGCCCAATATTAGATGCATAGGCCAACATTAGAGACATTTCCCCTATGTAGACTTCCTTCGGAAGGTTTTGGAAGATCCCGTTCATCTGTACTAGAAATAAAGTTACGGCGAGAACCGATCCTTGTGGGACTCCTCCGAGAAAGTTCTCGAGTGATGGTTCCCAATAATTACCTTGAAGAGCAGGAAGAGCAGGAAATTCCTAATGAAGTGGAGGATGTTTCCACGGAGGCCCCATTCTACTAATTGTTGTATCCATGTCCAGGTCGAAAGGCATGTTGCCGGTGATCGAGTAGTCCTTTAGCTTCCATAAAGTTCAGAAGCTGCCTATTGACCATTCTCTCCATCACCTTAGAGGAACAGCAGGTTGAGGAGATGGGGCGATAGTCATTCGCCTGTCTTCCGGTTTTCCCTGTTTTTGTTTAATATGTACAGCAAGCTTATGTGTCCTTTCAGCAGGGAGGGTGTTATGATAGCCAATTTCGTCTGGTCCGGCGATGTTTCCTCTGGGTGCACGACGTTAGGCATACGGTCGTTAGGCATACGGACGTTAGGCATACGTACGTTAGGCATACGGACGTTAGGCATAATGTACGATAGGCATAATGGACGTTGGGCATAAAGGACGTTAGGCATAATGGACGTTAGGCATAATCTACCGGATGATTGCTGACTTCGGTGACAATAATGAAAGAGCCTTAATTTTTGGAACTCATGAACGACGTCTTGGACAGGTAAAGTATTGGGTTACAGATGGTACGTTTGCCACAGTTCCTTGTTTGTTTCGGCAACTCGTCACTGTTCATGGAAGTATCGCTCCCGCACATCAGCAGACGGTTCCGCTAGTTTTCATTCTGATGACAACAAAATCAGAATCGTTGTATCGAAAAGTATGGCAGGAAATCCTGGAAGCAGCAGGTATGTTTTTTTGTTATTGAATGAAAAACCACAGAATTAACCATTCTTCATTTCATGAGCTGTTCTTTGGCATCATGTTTTATTCAACCTTGGCTGTTTTTTGTTATTGAATGAAAAATCACAGAATTCACCATTCTTTATTTCATGAGCTGTTCTTTGAGGAAAACCTTTTCTTCTTTGACTTTTGCTGACTTTTGATGTGTGTAAGAATATATTACAACAAATGTGTGATTTTTTTTATTTATAGATGCGATTGATTTCAAGATATAGTTCAAAACTAAGCTGAGTTTTCATTGTAAGATTACTTAACCACTATCGCTACTAATCATGGATCTAAGTAAATATGTAGATACGTCATATGATAAATAATGGATTCCAAACTGTGCTTATTAAATAAACTATGTGTGTTCAACTTGTATCATTTTTTATTCAACGCTAAGCCTAATTTAAGCATTGTTTACAGGTTTACAGGTTAAGCAGGTTTCTAGAGTTGCACAGCAGCAAGGTATTTTATGCCTAACGTCCATTATGCCTAACGTATATTATGCCTAACGTCCATTATGCCTAATGACTTTATGCCTAACGTCCATTATGCCTAACGTCCGTATGCCTAACGTCCGTATGCCTAACGTCCGTATGCCTAACGTATTTATGCCTAATGGGGTACACTCGTTTCCTCTGGCTTTGGTAAGAGCCAACGTAAGCTCGTCCGGTCCAAAGGGTATGTTGATGTCCGATGTGATCGATTCTCTATAATCAGGTATAATCATGTTGGCAAGGGGCCTTGGATTTACGGAACATGACGCTGTATCCCCCGATCGTGGAGAGGAATGCAAAATGTTCCCCGAGTATGTCGCTGACCATCGCTGAATCACGGGTGCTGGTCCTCGAGTGTTGTAGAGCTATTTCATGGGATCTCCTTTTACTGCTGATAGCATTGTTTCTGCCCCAGATCTCGCTGATAGTTTGGTTTGGGCTGATACCGCTTACAAAATCTTCGCAGCTCTGGCACTTGGCCTCGCGAGTTTCTTGACGACACTCGTTCCTTTTAGTACGATAGTGCGTCAAAGCTGTTTCTTAGTCGGGGCGTCCCTTTGGAAGTCGTTTAGATGCTCTGAGCGCTTCCTTTCTTCTCTTAACTGCTTCCTTAGTGGATGTGCTCCACTAGGGGAGGTATTTACGTCCCGGGTTGGAGCTAGTTCTCGGGATTGCTGTAGATGCGGCTTGAAATATCGGGCTTATGAAGTCGGTAAAGGTGCCTGGATTGGATTCGTCAGATGCTTCAGATATAAAAGTTTAGTAGCAGACTCAGTCGGCTTCTTTAAAGAGCCAAGCCGTGGTCGGCGGGAGATGTCGGTCGGTTTTCAGTACAGATGGATCTTGATTGGGTAGTGATCGCCACCCACGGTATCCTCGTGGACGTTTCATAGGGGACTTCCCCGTAACGTGGGTAGACCACCTTTTCGTGGTACGTTACGGGATGTAAGATCTACCACCGATTCCTAGTCCTGACTACTTAAAATT